TAAAGTAAAAATGTTTTGTACAATTTTATATAATTTGATACAGTTTTAAAAAAGATTCTTTTAAAAAGATAGATCTATAATATATGTTTGAAATTTAAGTTTTTTGGATAAACTATATATTAAAAGTATAATACATCTTATAAATTTATTTAAATATTTTTAATAAAATTATTTTATTAAAAATATTTAAATAAATTTATAAAATAAATTGTATTTTTAATATATTAACATACTCTATAAAATACGTTTTTATGCATGTTTTACTGGAAAGCATTAGCGTGTCTGATTCAACGCTCATAAGATCTATATGTGAAAAATGAGAATTTTCCCAGCTTGCATTAAGAAAAACGTGGCAAAAAATGTCTATTCAACTAGACTATTAGCTACATATAGAATCAAATCAAAATCAAAGGGGAAGATTAAGTGCCAAAACATTGGGGCCGGTCAAATACGAGTCTATGTTAATTGTATGGGTTCTAAACTTGTAATCTCAAATCAAATCAGCGTGCCTGTACAAATGCCAGCGTGCCTGTACAAAATGCCGTGTGCGCCGGCAGTATTGCCGTTGAAGACGTTTGGAATCAAAATTTAAAGGAGAATAATTGATATATTTAGTTTAATATATTTTTTGTTATTTATTTTATTTAATTATTAAAATAAAATATAAATATGATTTAATTTAATTAATTTTTATATTTTGTATATATATTAATATTTTATTAACAAGTTGTTAGTTTGAAGGTAAGAAATTTAATTTTCTTTAAATAAAATTTTGAGTTTGAATCTTATAAATAAAAAAACAGATATCAAGAAAGTTTTTTTTTTATAAGATCTGATATGATTCAATTTTAAATTAATCAAAATTTAACGTGATTAATGAATATTGAGAGATTAATACCAAAAATATATATATTAATATTTTTAAATTTATTTTTTAATTTTAAATTAAAAAATTCAATTTTAAATTAATTAAGATTTAACGTAATTAATGAATATTGAGAGATTAATACCAAAAATATATATATTAATATTTTTAAATTTATTTTTTAATTTTAAATTAAAAATAAT